TCATCATTACAGTCAACTTGCAATGTTAACATTTTAGTACTGTTCGAAAATTGGCTAAATTCGTTTACTACAATCGGCTGCCAAGCTCTTGCATGTTTGGCATGGCCTAGGACTTCACCCGCAACTCGGATCTGCAGTGGCTGCGGGTGATCGGTAATGAAATCTATCCTACAAAGCATAACTTAACCGTTTAGCTAAGAACGACTTTTTTAAAAGCCGCGAAATTTTTAAAAATATTTTTCTATTGAAAACAACTACATAATAGGTGTCATTATGAATTGTTATTGCTATTCAATTGTAGCATCATGTTAAAGGAATTTCATTTCCATAAGCACTACGGTAATATGCAAAAGCAAAAATGTTTTTCTTTTACTTTTATGGTAAGAAGAGTTTTAAGGCTTTAATGTCGATGCTGACAATAAATAATAAACAATAGAGTGTTAAAGAAGAAACTTGCAAACAGCAAGAATCGTCTTATGTTATTAGAGGACACTTAGCATTCATTCTTTTAATGGCATTATTAGGTGAAAATGAGCAAAAGGAATATTTGCACTTATAAATATTTTTAGAATTCCAAGAATTCTCAGTCAGTAGTAAAATATCTTCATTAAATTAATGATATTCAAGCTGTTATACGAGCATTAAAGACCCACATGCTTGAAATGATTTACCTAAAATAGACTATTTGCTATCGAACAAAATGACGATGAAACCATAAAGACATTAAAGACAATCATTTGCGGTGAAGTTTTAAGTCACACATTTGATGGTATAAGGATGTATGCAACGCCGAGAAGTTGAAATTAACTTTTGATTATACCGATCGATTCATAATTAATTGCTTTCTTACTTTTGACTTAAGTTTGTCTACTTGTCTGTCTGTCTGTCCATCCGTCTTATTCGCAATTTTGGTACACCCACATATTTCAGTCCGAGAACGATCGCTATTAACAATGGTTAGGATCTAAACACTTTTTCGACCACTTTCCCTGTATCATGGATTTTGATGGTGGGATTTGCCCACCTTTTTTATACCGAAAATAATTTCTGAGTCGACCTAACCTTGTTTCTCCCTCTGTCCGCCTGTCCCTCTGGCATTTTCACGTTTAACATACAAGTCGTAATTTTTGCGATATTTTGATGGATTTTGGATTTTGATCAAAGCATGAAAGCTGTAGAAAATAGTAAAATCAAAGCCCTTTCTCGACCGCTTATCATATAGCGCATTATTTTCAAAATCCGTTGTATGAAAACTGTATTAAGTGAAGTGGTATAGGGTATTTGGTGGTTTTATATTGTCAGTCAATCAGGGGATGTCAAAGAAACGAGAAGAGAGACAGATAGCGAGTAATCGTTGTCTAGAAGTTCTGGGCTTGTCAGCCGAGCCCTTACTTCATTTATGATCACTCATCACTAGAAATTAAATATAATCGTACGTACTAGGAACTGAATTCAGGCAAGACGACTTGATTGTAGCGCTTCTTAGCTACGTGACTAAACGTTAGCCTTTGAAAATTTTAAATAAAATGAATTCCGCTTTTCTTCTCCTTCGATTCATGTCATTTTTTCAACAAACTTCACTTCGTCTCTAGTTCAGGGGCTTCATCCCTTTGGTTATTGGTTCAGACTCGATGATTAATTTCATGCCTTCTTAAAATGGTCTAAATGGAGAACCGGCTACAACAACAATGGAAGTAGAAATAAGAGCGACGTGTATTCCCCTTTAGCGATGCAATCCAGACTTGCAGCGGCAAAGAAATATAATTGGTTGTGAATACATCTGTTATCTTCTAAGGTTTAATCTAGAAAAAGAAAATAATCGCTCGTAATTATGCTTAACACCTAGCAGCAGGAAGGTCGACTTTGTCAATCTCTTGCCATTTCATTTATTCTCTTTGCTATTCCTACGCTACATTTTGGAATGTGAAATACTTTTAAAAATAATCTTCGATACGAATCTTACTACTACTAAGTGAGGGACCAAATTGGTAGTCAATTTTGGTCCTCGCCATTATCTACTTTGCCAAGTATATATACTATCGACTTATTGTCGACTTATTGTCTACGTGGTAACTTTGAAGTACAAAAACCCGACGGCTATCATGCACTTTCTTTTCTACGCATAAATCGGACGGGTATATAATATATTTTGCTTCAAAGTATATAAGATACGATAGTGTAAATATTCAAGATTCACATTTAAGTTAAAATACAATTTGATATCTATCTTTCCCCGTCTCTCAAGTAGTATAATATTCATATTGAAATATGCAAGAAAGTATACAGTTTTTGCCTTTATTGTCTCTTCCTTACCACAACCAGAGATTTTCTCCGCAGAACTAACCCTACCAACCGTTTCTTACTTTATTTGTACAAACAATAACGGAAAAAAACAAAAACACATTCATTAAAATTTCATTATATATATGCATATATGTGTGTATACTTTTATTGCTATTTCATTTAATTTAAAAACTAATTAAGGTCACAATTAATATAAATAGAAGAAAAGTCTATGTGAGCTCTATGTCTCTCTGCATGAATGCTCATATTTCATGATTTGATGATGTTACGATGCGTTTAAATGTTTTCCTTTGGCTTATTCTGGCTGTCCTTCTGAAAGACTGTCATTGCCTTTGAGTAAAGGAAAGGTTTTGTGCTTGAATGAGTTTGTCTTTACAAAATGAAACCCTTTCAATGCGGTTTCTTCTTTTTTTTTTTTAAGCAAATTAAAGTCATTTCAACTTTGTAGCGAAAAAAAAAAAAAACTTACAAAGACATCAGGTTTTGCATTTTCTAAATTGCTTTCAAGAGAACCACTTTAATTTTGACAAATACCATGAAGGACACGGTAATGAACTTATATGTGTGCATATATTTTAAAAGGTTTTGTGAAATTGCTAAATAAATTTGATACATGTATGTTAAAGGAGTTAAACAATAGCAATAACTTTCTCCCTTTCTTTGTGTTCATATTGATTTATTTTTTAAAAATTACCTTAAAATTTTATTGATGAATGTACGATTCTGAATCGGTTGAACACATTGCCTTATTTATCGTTGCTTTACTTACCTTTTTGTCGCTGCTCGATTGTTGCAATTCTGGCAGAAGAAACTTTTCATGTACAAAAATGATTTTTGGCATCTATTCGCGTAACTGAATGCTCCCAAGTTTAACAATTCTTGAAAATTCAAATGAGTTTCTTTCGCCTAAGTAGCCGAGTAGATAAAAAGATCGCAACTGACCGCTCAATGATCGTTTGTTTAAATCTCAAGTGGAGTGGAGTGCTTTATGACTTTAATCTTAGAATCTAATTACCTGACTAAATTGATAGTAATAATAATAATAAAAATAATAATGCTATCATTTTCATAATTTAAGTTGTTTTTACTGCCACCTTCAAAGCGATCAGACTATGAACTTAAATCTATTCAATGTTTAAAAAATATAAAGTCCAGGTTTATTATAGCTAGCAATGTTTTTCAAATATTATCCAAATATTTAAATCAAACCCTTAAAAATTTTCGTGTAATATAAAAAAGAGAAAACGGCTGATATATCAAAATATTATTGTCGATCAATTTTTATTTTAAAATATCAACAATGGTGCTGCCTTTTGAAGCTAACTTTTCTCGAGAAATTTTCTATGGTAAATAGTCCGAAAAATAGACCAATGTAATCCATTTTGAGTACAGTAAAGTTATCACTATTCCGAATCACTTTTAATCAGAAATAGTTCTCCGACCCCAAATAGTTCTCGTTGTTAAATGAATACTTGTTTCCTGTAAGATCAAGTAAAACGGTACAAAAGGTTGTTCTATCCCAACATTGCATAATTTTTAACGATTTTCGTCGAGATATAATAAAACTGACAGCTTTTTCTCGTACAACGAGTTCTTCGTTATTAGGGCAACGGTCATAGAAACGGTCTGCTCTAATCGGTCTTCATTACATTTCGTTCTTAAGTCGAAACACGTAAGTGTATCAAATATTATTGCAATGCGTCGAAAATGGCGCCTTGCAGGTTGAATACAAAAGCACATATATAGATTTGAAGGACAAATGGAAGGACCTAAATCGGCACAGAAAATGACTGAACTTAAAAGTTCGACCTACCTCCAATCTTTCTTTACACAAACTTAAAACTCTCGCTCATCATCAGCAGCTTAGCGAACAAATACGTTATATATTCTAAAGTGAAATTTGGCAACATCGCAGCAAAGATCTTTTCGCAAAGATATTTTCTTTAAATGCTCGTTATAAAATGGGCCGATCCAATCCCGTTTAATTAGGCTTCGTTCTTAAGCCGGAACACGTCATTATAATAGCTCGACTTGTAAGTTGAAAATAAACGCGCTTAGGTTGACATGGCGAGGGCAGATTGGACAGACATAAATGGGTACAGAAAATGACTTCGAATATAAAGTGAACCTATCTCCAAGTCGTTTTTCACATAAACCTAAAACTCTTGCTTATCACAAAAAGTATAGCGAACAAATACGTTATACACAGCGCAGGCATCATAAACGTAAAAAATTTTTACATTTTACTGAGATCAAAATTTCAACTGAGAAATTGACATCGAATTTATCGCATAAATATAAAACTTCATATCGAAGATCTGTTTTCCAGTTTTTTATTTTCAAGTTTTTATTATAAAATATCATTTTCTTATTTTTTTTTGGCAGACATATTATCAGATTCTCTGTTCAATCTCTACTTATAATTAAAAACATATATACTTTCGTCTAACACTTAAGATTGAACCAAAATCCTGAGCACAAAAAATTATATTATTAGATATACTTAAAAAATATTTTTCTATACCACAAATGATGATGTTAAGCTATGTAGTAATGATGTTATTATCCATAAACATACATTTAATACAAGCATATTATTTTGATATTAGAATAAAAAAAAGGAACAATTTTCTATAATTATAATATAATAAATGTAAATCGATATAGTTTTTCTAAGACTTGCTATAACTTCAAAAGAGGGGAAAAAGGATTTGATATATAAAAGGGAAAAATTATTAAAAGCACAAAAAAAGTTTTTCTTTCGTCGTTTTTCTCGATGTCATGAGAACGGAAGGTTCATATTTTTTAATACACTTAGGCTATGTGTGAGCGATTTAAAGGCAGGGAAAAATCTTCGTTATATTTCGTTGTTCGTTACGTATATGAAACGCTTTATCATAGAATCGTTGCTTATGGGCCGAAAATCCTTAAAAATATATATTAATCGTAACATCGTGCATCGTTCAAGAGTCCGCAAAAGAATGACCAGTCTTTTACCAAGGTAAGCGATGAGCTAAAATATTTTTAAAAGAAACATAAAATAAAAAAAAAACAAATTAAAATATTTCTTTAAAAACTTTTTGTAGGAGTAAGTAATTTTTTTTACTACGGCTGTTATTCAAAAACATCTCAGTCAATTTGAAGGTTAGAATTTGAAGCCAAAAAGTAGTTTTTCGAAAATTTGTTATGTACAATATGAGAAAAGGTTTAATTTAATTTGAAACTCTTACCAATTTTCGTTAATTTTTATTTTTTTTTTTTGGTTTTTTTTTTAGTTTTGTCAAACAAAGTTTCTTACGTAGATGTTTATGATTGCTTTATATGAATTAATTGATTGATTTTTATTTATTATAAATTATTCATATCCTCTTGTTCGGCTGTTGTTGATGTTTAAAAGAAATAGAAATAGTTGTTTGTTTTTTTAGTTAATATTATTGATTAGAAAGAAAATTAATAAAATTGAAGAAAAAATATAATGATAAAGATAATGTTTGCTGGGTAATGAGAAATTTGGCAACGGTACAAAAAGTTTGTTGAATGGAAAAAACTGCTAGTTAATAAACTGCTATACAATCTTCTTGAGTCTTCGACTTTCGTTTTCGTTTCATAGCATTATTTCAATCAGGTATGGAAAAACCGCCGTCCCGCGATAATAAACGAGGGCCGCCCGCTACGTTTAAAATTTCAAATATTTCAGTTTGGTCGCGCATGTCGATACTGCAAACGAATGTCATTTGCGTTCACAAGCGGCTCAGCTGGTTTTGGTTTTTTTTTTTCGTGTTCATTCGACCATAAAATGAGCGATTTAAAAAGGAGGAAAATTGGTGCATAATACTGCACTTTTAATAATAGTGGTATTTTCTTCCGACCCCCACCCTGATATGAAAATTAAAATTTTTTGTCCCTTGGACAAAAAAAAAGTGGCCCCTACCTGATTTAGATTGTAGAGCAAATATTTGATTTATTACTACTAACATTAAAGGTAAGCAACGTTACCAAATTTCATATTATCTTTTGGGTATTCAATCTTATACTTTATTCTCATACTATTTTTTTTATTTTTTATGTAAATGCAACTATGTGCCTGTTGGTTACAAGTCAGGGGACTAGAAAAAGAATCATATTTACACAAGGAGTTTTATATACACGAGGACTTTTTCGGAATTTAGAAAATATATAGTGAAAAACTTTTCAGTACTTACGTGTTAATGGCCTAGCAGGATGCTTGGCCCATAAATAACGGTTCTTGACAGGTGATAAGAACGAATCGCGGGCTACACTGCTACCACGTGGCGGTAATGATAAACCGCGGAAGGGCGAGCCAGCACGGAAGGGAGCCAAATCTTCAATATCCCACCAGAAGGGATCGCGAGTGAAAGCGGATATTGGCATAGCCGGATTGGGATCGAACATATCCCTGAAACGGTTTCTGGGATGGAAGATGGGAAGTCCTGTGTTGTGATGATAATGATGATTGTGTGAGAGAACAGAGCAGAAAGAGAATATTTGTTTTTTTTTGTTTTTTTTTTTGTTTTCTTTTATTGTTTTTTTTTTATACTAAAAAGAACGAATGGTTAGATTGAGAAAGACAGAAAAAGAAGAGAGAACACAAAAGAGAAACAGATTTGTTGTTTTTGGTTAAAATTTGAACCAATTTTTTTTTCGAAAACTCATGCAAAGTGCTGGTCAAGAATTTATAGGATTTTATTAAGAGGAAAATTGTAAGGATAGAAGGATACAAACACCTCAGCTTTCTAAAGAGGCTTAAAGGAATGAAGGAATTTTAGTGAAAAAAAAACACACTTTGGTAAATATATCAGAGAAACCATTTTGATGCCTCTGGCCACGAACGAACAAGAAACGTATATATATAGAAAATGTTGTTAACAAAATACATCGCAACACCAATATTTTCGAATTTTCAGCCTTGAAAAGCATAATTTAATAAATTTACTACGCACGTAGTTTCTTTTTAAAAGCTTTTAAAGGCTTAGGAAGATAATAATAAAATTTGGAAAATTTTTAAAATTTGGGTGTATTTGTATTTGTGCGAATATGTAATTGTAAGGTTGTGCATGTGCGTTTACCATCAGCATCAAAGGCAACTTCAGTGGGACGCGGTCCCCAGCGACCGGCCTTGACAGGAGTGGGACTTGGTGAGCCAGCACGCTCAAAAACGCTAGGCCTCTCTAACTTACGGGCAAATAGTTCATCCAACGGTTCTAACGAACTGGCCCGGAACAGAGGACGTGTAAAAGGAGCCAAGCTGGTAGCACGATCAAATACCGACGGTCCCCGAGTCATGGAACGACCACGTGGCGGACTAGGACCGCGTGACCAACAGGTTGGTGGTGGTACGTAGGGTTCACTGCCAGCGCGTTTCACACGATTTGGACCCACCATTGGTGAGGGAGAGCGACGAGCTGCGATAGAGAAAATGAAATTAGATTAAAATGATTTTTTCTTTTTTTTTTTTTTGGGAAAAAACAATGAAGACAACATCAATGAAAATTAGAGCGGATCAGAAAACACTGTAATGAACAACTGACACAAATAACATTACGACATAATTACGGTAACCGAAAGGTGCTACAGTCTAACGTTGTTTCTTCAACTGCCACAAGAAAGTGTTGTAAATTTCACGAATTTTTTCCTTTTTCATTTAATCAATCTCTTAGGGCACGTTCCACTTTCGTGTAACACGACGATCGCCAGAAAAAAGAGAAGAAAGTGTTATGCCTTTACCGACTGAGCACTCACTATGACTACGATTAAGTAAAGCTCCGCCCTCTACTTGAGATTTGAACCAGATAATCGCTGTTCTTACCTACCCGGTTACACAGACCGACAAATGAACGGAATCGAAATAGTTTTATGCATCCACATCTCCCGATAAGCTTTTGTAAAGACGGCTATTGGACTTTTACTTAGCTTTAGAAAATCTTTATAGTAATAGACCAGTGATCGAATTTCAAGCTTTCAACAAATTATTATTTTTAACCGTTGCATACGTTTGAGCACTGCAAATATGTAATAAATTTAATATAGCCTGTAGGGATAAGCAAACTATGCTATTAAACCATAGGGATTAAGCGTTACAGTAAACTGAAATCATAAAATTTGTCGACTTCATGACATGATAAAATTCTTTAAAAATTCTCTTATCCTTGATGCTTCATATGCATATAAGCATCATTTGCATTTTATCTAAAAATATACATAAGAAAATTTGTTTGTTTTGTGGTGGAATCTTCTACAAAAGTTTATTTGACAACAATTTGCTTTATTCTATTGAAAAATAATGAACTTAAACGTTTTATGTGCTGCAAAGATTGGGAAAATTGCTTTTTAAGAGTCCACGTTTTATGTGCTTATATTTATCGAATATATGTACATGTGTGAGCTTACATTCCCTGCAAACACCATTTACCAAAGTAAAACAACCACCATTAAATATTAATAGCCTCGTAAGTTAATTTATGTGGTAATTGCGAATTAAGGAAATATTGAAACATATTTGATTTCAACAGCGGAACAGCATTTTTTAAAGTCGCGTAACACTCTGGACAGTAGGTTTTTAAAAAAAAAATAAAAAATCTTTATGAGCATAAATTGAAAATAAATGAAATCTAGATTCAATCTTTCTTCCTGCAGTAAATTCAAGTAGGACTTAGACTAAGTTTGATGCTGAGGCCTGGACAAAACTAATCAAGCTCACTAGAGTTCAGTACTGTTAAGTGTATCATAAATTACTCAACTGGAAGTAATACTTTTTTCTTACTTCTGCTTTTTATTGATTGTATAGCTTGATGAGTTTGAGAAAGATTTCAACAAGGCCTGATGAGATGGTAATGTTCACTTGTCTTAGTTGAATGTGAAAACTGTCCAAGAAAGTTAGTTTACCTTCCAAGCGAAGCCTTGTGTTTTCAAGAGGCTTTAACACTAGATTTGGGTATACATTTATACGCATTTAAAACCAATCAAATTGACTCGCCATCTAGTGATAAATAAATGGAAAATAGTTTCGTCCTTTTTTTGCATCCAAGCCAAGGGTTTTTTTTGTAAACCTCTATCATTAGAACATAAAACACAGTAATTTAAGCTTCCTACGTCTAACGGAGATTTTATAAAAATTTGAAATTGTGATATTGTCCCCTTGTTAACATTCGATTGTTTTTTTGAAAAACACTACAATCCTAAAAGGGTTCACGTCACTGGTTTCCAAATTATCATTACTTCGACAGCCTAAATTTGCAGTCAGAAGCATAACATCGTGGAAAATAATATATTGGTCGACATTGCAAAATTTCTTTTTAACCCAATCTATTAAGAATATTCTGTCGTGACCGGATCTTTCATATCTATCACTGAATAAAATAACCGAACGAACTAAATTTTAATACTCTATCAAAAAATATATATATTTTGTGAGGTCTTTGAAGCTTCCTTCTGGTCACGATAATTACGGTTGGTTTCGCCTTCTTTTTCATGCTCTGTTATACTTGTGGTACAAGCATGTATTAAGTTTGGGCAGTTGTATACCATGTATAGAAAGCCTTGAGCTAGACCCGCTTTTGATTACACCTGTCTGTCCGTCCTGTTTTCTCCTGTTTAAGTTATAAGCCGAAATTTTTGAAATAATTTGAAGAAATTTGGTGAACTGATGTGTTTTGTCCCATGAGTGAACGCTACTAATAAGAGTTCGGATCGGAATACTGTTTCGCCCATTTACGATATAAGACCTTATTATGAAAAGTCGATGTATGAACAATTGTAAAGTGAATGCCCGCAACGAATGATTGCCTAAACACAATATTCTAAGCAATCGACAAAGCGATTAAGTTAGCGAAAACTAAGAAGCTTTTTTAAATGAGAAATCTAAAACATATAGTGACCATATCCAGATTTAAACTCATTTGTCTCAACTAATTATCTCAATTAAAACCTAAATTCGGAGATTTTCTCAAAATAGATTAATAATAAATGCGTCATTTAAGCAAGATTTCTATATTTATGGCAACTTTTTAATTCTTCAGACAACATTAAAAAAGAAGACCACAGATTGTTAGATGATCCGCTTTCTTTCAAGCAGTGCAAGTTAATTTTTGACAAAAAGTTAGTTAATAATAATAACGATGAATGCAATCTGCCATGAGCTTCTTGTACTCTACACCTGCAGACTTAAGCAAGACTCTTGTTTTTTTATACCAAAATGTAAGCTTGTCCGTCCATCTGTCCATGGACCTGTCTTGTATTCTTTTGTTCAGCATGAAGTCCGCAATTTTTGACATATTTCGATAAAATATGGTACACTGACGCTTTTTGGCCCATGGGTGAACGCTGTTAAATATTGGGATCGGGCCAGTTAGGTCTTTACTTCGAAAAGACATTATACGAACAATTATAGTTTTGCTTAGTGGAAGAGATTACAAATATAATTACAAAAACATAGATCCGTTTGACTTAGATAATCAATACTTTAAAAGCGATTACATTAAAACAATTTAAAAATCCTAAAATGATCTTTTTACATACAACATGCTATTTGGAACTATTTAAATACAAAGGCTCCACATAATACAAATAAAATGGACATACATCACTTTCAAGCAAAACGGCTAATGCATGTTC